GGTAAAAGTGTTTCACTTTTACCAACGAAGAAGGGAAGAAGATGATTAGCTGGCACCTTCCCATTGGATCGTTTGAATTTCCGCGCGAGTTTTTCTATATTACGCTTATTTATAATATAATAATTGTTATATGTTTTATATACAAGAAACACACATAGCTCAGATCACATTGGTGTAGGTGGAAACGCTTCAGGACTTGGGTTCGAATCCTAGGTCCCCCCAATTTCTTCATATTTTTTCCTTTCAGTTGATCCAGCACGCATACAATACCAGGGACCACCATACATCCTCATCATCCAGACATTGGACCTCCTGGAAGCTAGATCTGAAGGCTAGCATGTGAGAGACTACCATGGTGCCTAGTCAAAGCAACACACTGGATGCAAAAAGTCAAACGTGGACCTCTTTGGTCTTGGGCCAGAAATGTTATTTGCACCCCTCTCAGATTACTTTCAGGCCCAATTATTTCTTTCTCTTCATCTTTTTTTTTTGTTTTATTTTATTTATTTATTTTTACTAACAAATTAAATAATTCTTTTTATCAAAATAATATTTTTCACCAAATTAGGTTTAGATTTTATTTTTTATCAAAAAATTAAATTAATTAAATTAGGTTGTTAATTTTAGATAATTTTAATTCTTTTTGTAAATAAATTTAAAATTAATTAGAATAATTAGGGTTTTGTTTCTAACTTAATTATATTTTCTTTTTCTTAAAAATAACCAAAAAACCAAAAATAGGTCATTTATTTATTTTCATTAATTAATTTAAATTAGCTAATTAATTTGTATATTTAATTTAAAACCTAATTTCTTTTCTTACAAATAATTAAAAAACAACAAAAACATTTTCTCTTTTAATTAGGTTAAAAAGGATCAAAACTCTAGTTCTCTTCTGATTTAAATTTCCTCGCGCGTGCTTTATCATTTATTTTTACCCAATTATTGTAACCGCTCACAAGTTTGTAATATCTTAATTAGGAATTTTACTTTCATTTATCGCTTTATTATTTTAAGGGTTTGTTTTTGGCTATGTAAATACTCGAAGCCTTGTAATAGCTTAGTTTAATTTCCTCACTTTAAATTCCGCAAAAATATTAAACTGTTAGATGTATGATTAGGGTTGCATGACAAGAACGTATGTAAAACTTTAAAACGGTTAGATAACCCTAAAATGTGCAAAGATAAATAATCTGAAATTGAATCACTCGCACATGCGCACTCCTAGGGTACACTTCCACTTGGTTGCCTTCGGTAAACGGTCATTGAGTATAGGATGTTTTAGTGGTCGTCCTTTTGTCTAAAGATCAAAGTTGCCTCGGAAAGGTTGCCTCGGATATTGTTGCCTCGGATAATTGACTTAAGACATTAGGGTTATTACTAAGACGTCTTAACATTGCTTTAGTGACCGTACATCCCTTTCGAATTGACCCTCAAAACTCCAACGACGGTGCTACCTACTCACTAATAGTGGGATAGCACTGTCTAAAGGAAACGAATACAGAACGATTCTTTTTTCGAGTAGGTAGATTAGTTCTTAAGTACTTGCTCAATCAAAACAAACTTTTTCACACTTACACTCCTTTACAAATAAAGTTTTCAAAAACACTTCATTACACTCTTGAGTACAGAAGCAAGAGTTAAATCGAAGTCAAAACAAAAACTTTTCAAAACACGCAAGCACACAAAGAAGCAATTTTGAAAATGATGAGCAAGTATCTAAGAGCCCGTAGATAACTACAGATAAAAAGGGTGCTAATGCCTTCCCTTTCTATAATCTACCCCCGTACTCAGAAATATCTCGAAAAAAGAATTTTTTTGGTGCTTTTTTCCTTTCCTTGTTGGATAAAATAAAAGTCGGTGGCGACTCTTGCTTACCGCGACATTTTGCAAACATAAACGCAAAATGCAAACCAACATTCCTAAAAAACAGTCCCGATTCTGGCCACCGTATCACACAACCCAAAGATCATCGGCATCTGGGTCTTCAGCTATCTCCAAGTTGTGATTATACAACTTGGCCAACCAAGAAAACTTGGCATGTGCACCCCTGGTGTTCTTACACTGCTCAAAGGCTTCCTCAGGATCAGCTCCCAAATAAACCACCATCATCTCCACTGCCTCAGCCCTGGTGATCTTAGAATGACGTGGGAGACAAGCGACACCATCTAATGTAATAGTCATATCTCAATAGGGAGTTGAAAAGATGATGTATCTTTATATTGTCTCTCAGCAAATGTAACATGCATGTCATGGATGATGATATTTTACCCAGAAGCACAAAAACCTGCAAGACCAGAGGACCAGAGTGCACTTTAGAACCATTCATCCTGAGGCAGATAAACATGGTGAATCTTTCTGGCATGATTCACATATTTCAGACACTCATGTTCTTGTTGAAAATAAAATATAATAGTCTCATTCAAATTGAATTTGGTTAAAATATAAAAAATATAACCATTAAGAAATATACCTCTTCGTCCTAGATATGTGGAGCCACATGATCTCCAAAGTATATCAGTAATGAAGTATCTGTGGATCCTCCTGGAAAAGGTTCAGCAAGTGGGGTCTCCTCGGCAATTAGCGCTAGTTGTGCAGCTGAGGCATCCTCATGGTGGACACGACATTGGGATGCCTACCCCTATGATAGCTGACTCCTAAAGGTTGACGCTTCCCTGTCGCGAAGGATAGGTATGACTCTAGTTTGTTCATGCCAACAAGCCCTCTTGCAGTGAGCAGACGCGGTTAGGGTGGGACGACTAAGTCTCATCTTTTCGTTGTTTTAAGCCATTATCCTTGAAAAACATAAGAAAAGAGATTAGTGCATCAGGAAGGAAAGAGTTCAAAGATGGATCTTCAAACACCATAAATAACAGACTTCAGAGATACATCTATGAAAAAAGCTTTGTTTTTGAGCCTCCATGGCAGAAACATTTCTGCCACTGCCTTAGCCATCCAAAAGTCATCCAAATCATAGAAATAAATCCTACACATAATCTATTTCAAATACTAATATTATCTAATGCATTAAAACTAACCTATTTGAACTAATACATTAATCAAAACTCAAAATAAGCTAAATGAGAAACTTACTAAAAAATATGTTGCTAAGGGTGTAAAGTGTATTAGTTAGAGGCAGTTGAAAATGACAAGATACAAGCTAATGATCTGATATTGCATCAAAACTTGAGATTGAGTGTGAACTAAAAATGGGTAGAGGGAGGGAGAGAGAAATTTTGTTTCATGTAAAATGAAGAAGGAGAAGAGGGAGAGTCTGATGCGAACTTTAAATACGTTCACCTAGTTTGGAGATGCATCTCCGAAATATTTTTTTTATTTAAAAAAAGGTTAATTCAGAGATATATTTGTGAACATATCCTAAAATCTCTTCGCAAATACATCTCATAATTAAATTTTTAATAAAATAAAAAATTAGTGCATCCAAAAATATATCTCCAAAAATATTGGACATTTTAGAAATTTCACACAAGACCTAAGAAAAAGTATAAGAATGCAATGAGAAATTGCCTAATTTGAGTGCTTATATAGCACATACAAACATTTTTTATTGTTAGATTGTAGGTTGGAGAGGTGGGCCTAAAGTCTAATTAGTTTCTTTTGTAGTAGTTAATATCCAAATAAATTTTTAAAAAATTTAAATGAAATTATTAATTAATGATTATTAATTAATTAAAATTTTTGATTATTGATTATTAATATTTAATAAAAAATACTAAAAAAAAATGACATGAATAATAAAAAATCAAAAGGGATCTCATGCCACCTCAACAAAAAAGTGTCACTAAATATTTTTGGATTAAAATTGGAGATTGAGAATCAAAATTGTTTAAAAATAGAATAGAAAGACTGATTTTGTGAATAGAACATAATAAATGGATCAAAATTGTAATTTAACCTATAAAATATTAGTTTCATTTATGTTATATTATTTTGTTAATATTTCACTAATATAACGTTAGTGTGATTCTTTTATTATATATTATTCTTGTAGTGTGGTGATGAAAACTCATTTTAAGTAAATTAATTTTAATTAAAATAAAATTAAAGGAAAAATAATTTATACTTGAATATATTTATACAAAATTAAATTAAATAATAAATTTCTATATTAAAATTAATTTTTTTAATCAAAAATTACAATTCTTAACTTAAAAGTAATATCAATTATAAAGACAAAGTTAATTATCTTTTAAATAAACCAAACATGTAAGAATAACTTTTGACTGACTTTGTCTAGATTCATTTTCATATTAATTTTTAAATAAATAAAAAAAAAAAACAAGAAAGCTAAGTTTATAAAATTTACCTATTTAGAAAACCACCTTTTGGACTATATACAAAATCTAATCATAATATACAAATTTATCAAATAGGTATAAAATAAAATTTAATTAAATTGAGACTTTGAATTGTATAGTATAGTCATTGTTTTTAGTCTTAGTCAAAGCAATATAGAAGACCAAGTTTGGTGTGTCTCCTTATATATGAATCTATCTAATCTAGAAAAAAACCAGACCAAAAACAAGACTTTCACAACAACCTTTTTATTCTTCTTTCAACATAGCCACAACAAAAAATTTAATTTAATATTAAATTCATTTTTTATTTTTTATGAGGAAAAATAATATTTATTTGTTATAGCACATTGCATAACAACATTTTAATGTTTGACTTGTACTTTTGTTGTTTGTTTAAAACACTAGCCACCTTTGTGCTTAACAACGATTCTCCTTAGTTATTCAGAAAAAAGATTTTCTGCGACGAAAATTTGTTTCACAATTATTTTTCATCTGTTAAAGGTTAGTAGAGTTTCATTAATTATTACTATTATGAAAACGTTTAAATTTTCGGTTTAGTTTTATGGTGTTTGATGAAACTGAAGATTCTTCTGGTCTGTTTAAATTGTAACTTGAGTGTTAATTAATCTGCAGGAGAAGGTGGTTGAAAAAAGTGATTATTAGAGAAGCTGATTATTTAGTATGGGAAACCAGATGATTGATTCAGAGAAATCCAGTGTTAGAATTCAGAAAGTTAATCAAGGATGTGTTTGGAGCTGGTTTCATATTCTTGATTATCATCATTGGGGTGTCAAAAGGGCTTTTCGTCATAGAAAGAAAAGACAGGCTAAAAGTAAGCTATTTTATATCATAATTCATAAGCTGTTTCTTCTATTATTTCTCTATTATTTGATTTGTTTTGTTTGTTTATTGAACCTTCTGTGTGTATATATACAGCTGTATTGAGTGATTCTAAATGCATAAAATTGATTTTGACGCGTTTAGTTGTTTCCGGTTAAAATTGATTTTGACTATAGAATTGATTCTAACTTCACAATCTGTAGTTTTTGAGTTTAAACGTGTTTTTTCCTGAGAGACTTTAAATGCTTAAGAGGCTTTTTAATGTATATGCAGATAAGAGAAAGACCACTTTGCAAGACCAACAAAATGCAGTTACAGAAGCAGAATCTTCCTTGGTATATTTAAAATTTTCATAATCATATTTTTATGTCGTTATGGCCACAAACAATTATTATGTATTGTATAATCTTTAGCACCGGCACCTCCGATGGAAGGTGTGTCTTATGTGAGACACGACACCAATACATATGATTACGTTCAATTAATTCGCTGTTTCAAAATTTTACCAGTGTCAACTTGTTTGTGTCAACGTGTCTTTATTAGTATCTATCTCAGTATTTGTGTTTGTGATTCTTTGATTGTATATAATACTCCGTAACCTGAATTTTATCGAATATAAAATATAAATTTCAGGTCAATCAACATAGAGAAACATCAAATGCCAGTAGCGAGAATGCACTTCCTCGGAAGAAAGATGGAAAATCAGCAGAAAGTTCCCTTAGCAGAAACATTTCTATTAAGTTTAAGAACAATGATGATGTTTTGGAGATAGTTAGTATGGAGAAGAATTTATTACTCAAGTTTCTAAAAGATATCGACTTCAGCGGTAAAAAAAATCATAAAGCTTCTTATAACAAAGCAAGATTGACAAAATCAGGAACCTTTCCTTTACCCGCGTCTGCTAAGACGAAAAACATTAGTTCTAGTACCTTCCGATCCAAGCAAGCCAAAATTTGGAACTTCCCCAAAGGAGAAAACTTCCTTGTAGGAACTCAGGCACCAAAAAAGTTTGGATCCAATTCAGTGAACGATGTTTCTTATGAATCGCAGAAGCCTTCCGCGAGTGATCTTGGAACCGATAGTGCAGTGGAAAAAAGTCCAAGCGTTTCTTCGAGGCGTTCTGAAGGATTAAGCCACAGAGGGTGGAATCAAGTGGTTCTTCATCAGTTCAAAGTTATAAAACAGAAGATCAAACAAGCAGTTGTTGAACTAAAAAAAAGTAGTCACCAAACATCGGTTTACGCTATCCACAACAACGAGAAAGAGATCTCAGAAAGCGTAGATGTTGGCGCGATTCAAGAATACAAAACAAGTAGAAGCTTGAATGAGACCAAGGCTTTTGATTCTGATTTTGATTCCAACAAACGTGAAGTTCGCCTTCTTAGCGAGTCGATGGATAGATATACTCAGTTGTTTGAGAAAAGCTTAAGCAGAGAAATCAAGTGGAAAAGCTCAAAGTCTAAAAGCTTAAAATTGACAAATGATGTCGATAGCAATATTCACAAGAGTAGGCATGCTCCTAGGTTTGTAAGAAGCAATTGTTCTATGCCGAATCTCGAGTCTTTAGAATTCATTCTACAAGAAGCTCTTCTTGATACAAAGGATATAGGAAATAATGCAGTGGAAAGTGATATCGACGCTGGAACTGATGAAACAGTTGAAGGGAGTAGCAGAGTTGTGAATCCTAGTCATTTATCTGATAAGATAGCGGAGAAAATTGAAGGAGTTACCTATGACCGAAGCGATGAAAGTTTTCCTCAAGAAAACATGGAAGTAAGCATGATGAATACTTTTCTTAGCAAGGAGGTAACAACATCACTTGAAACTAGCTTTCAAGACAGTACAATCAACCAAGCACAAGGTAACAAGTTTATGTTAATGTGCACGAGGATAACATAAAATTTCTTTAAAAAATTTAACTGATATACACCGTCAAATAATCATAATCGTTTGTTCATTAAATATTTGATTTTAGTTATAACTTGTTTAAAAGACTCACATCGAGTGATTTGTGATTGATTGACAGTAAAAGCGATTATTACTAATGTTTTTGGCTATATATATCAGGTAAAGAGTCGAATACACGAGGAGACTCAAACACTAGTATAACCGCGGAAGACACAAACAAGAGTCTTGAAAATCATTTCCTGAACTTCAAATCGTATTCAGAAAACGATTCCAATTTCAAATATGTGAAAGATATTCTTGAATACTCCGGTTTCATAGGAAATGAACAGATTCAAACGCGATACACGGTAGACCAGCCAATAAAACCATCCTTATTCGTAGCATTAGAAGAATCTTTGCTTCATGAAAACGAGTATTCTGCAGAAGAGAATAGCAACATGTTTGATCACCAGCTTCTCTTTAACTTGATTAACGAGACACTCTTTGAAATATATGAAAAGTCACCAACATACTTTCCTAGACCTTTCGCCTTCAACCATCGGCTCAAACCAATGCCAAAAGGAAACTATATTGTTAAAGAAGTATGGGATAATGTTAGTTCATATTTGAGTTTGAGACCAGAGTTAGATCAGACATTAGACGATGTTGTTGGTCGTGATTTGATAAAAAGAAGTGGTGGATGGATGAATCTTCAACAGGAAGAGGAGTGTGTAGCACTTGATTTTGAGGAAATGATCATAGATGATTTATTAGATGAAATCATCTTCTCTTGATGTTAGAAACTCTCCTAGACTTCATCAATCCTCAATAGTTAATTTTTTTAGGCTAAAAATATAGGATTCATATATGTAGGTTAGCTTGTGAATAGGATTGATTGTATGCACGATATCATGTCTTGATTAAAGAGTTTTGGTGTGTGGCTTGATTATTTCCCATGTAAATAACATAGGAGAATTCACATTTTTGCTTACACCTTGGAGATTTGTTATTATTGATGTTAGTAATAAGCTCTCTTGTTAACCAAGAAACATACTTTGAATTATAAAATAAAACTCTCGCAATCAAACTCACTAATTAGGGAAAGATTAACTAACAAAGAAAAAATTAGATACATTAATATTCTGAAATTACTCTAATGAATAATAATAACAGAATAATATTTCAACACACCCTCTCAAGGTGCCGCAAATACCTATTTTTTTAGAAGAAAGGAAATAAAATATTTTTTCAATGTGAAAGAATTTATTAAAAACGAAATTTGAAGTTCACTACTGCCTTTTTTTTTATTTGAATAAATTTACGGTTCAAAGTGACTTATCAATTTATTTTACTTAAAAGAATTTTGTCACATACGTAAGTAATTGGCAAAAAAAAAATTTTTTGTCTTGTATGTTACGATAAAGTTCAGTTTAGTCTCTTAACTTAAAAAAAAAATTGTATTGGTCTCTTAACTTTTCAAAATACTTTATTTTTTTCTCTCTAATTAGCGATGAATTTAGCAATCAATTTCTGAGTTTTTTCGTCGCTAATTAGATAAAAATGACTAAAATGAAACGTTTTGAAGAGTTAAATGATCAAGATGAACTTTTTTTAAAATTAAGGGATCAAAGTAAACCTTGACGTTAACATACGGGACTAAAAATGGTATCTTGCCTAAGTAATTTAAGGTCTCTAAAGAGATTTTATAAAGAGGTCAGCAAATTGATTCTTGGAATGACAAAGACGTTTTGTTGGTCCTGAGGATAATTTTCTCTCTAAGAAATTAAGAGTCGACTTTTATATGCTTTGTCCTCTCATGAAAAACTGAATTGAAGGAGAGTTGCAAATCTAACTGATTATCACATACAAGTTCTATAGGATCGGGTTCACAAAAAATGAAGCTCGTCTAAAATGCTTTAACCACAAGAGTTTACATGTTGCATGGGTCATGGCTCAATACTTAACTTTTGTACTTAATCGAGCAACAACAAATTGCTTTTCGTTTTTCCATGAGATCAAATTTCCACCAGTAAAAATGCAATAAACAGATGTAAATCGTTTATTACTTGCATCTCTTGTCCATTCAGCATTTGAATATCCAATAATATAAGTGTTGCCTCCATCATATAAAAAAAAGCCTTTTCAAGACGATCCTTTGATATACCTAAGGACTCGGATAACCGCATCCTAATGGTTGTCACAAGGAGAGTTTCGAAATTGACTTACTACATTGACTAAAAAAGATATATCAAGTCTATTCAAGGTAAGATAATTCAGATAAAAATGAGGCATTACCAGTCACATGGTGTAAAGCATCAAAATCCATATCCCATCTAATAGGTGTAGAGTGATATAAACAAAATGTAGAATTGAGCAATATTAACTGAGGAGGTGGCGTATTGTGTTGTCTTCAACGACTAATTCTCGTTATACTTATCGATAGAAAAAGTATTTTCGAATCCACCCTTTGACTCAAGGTTTGTAAAGGTTTAAGCAACATTAGCAGTTTAGCTCGAGAAGCTATGCAAATTAAAGCATCGATCTTGAGCGTGCTCATATTTCCTACAATAAGTACAATATAAGTCACCATTACTCCCTCTATCATGTTCCGTTTATGGCCACATCCACCACATCCTCCATTACTAAAGTTAAAAACAAAGCAGAGGACTCGGGAGTAGTATGTATGATTATCGTCACTTGGTAAAGATACTCAAATAAAACGATCTATTAGCACTTCTACCGTAAATATGATAGTATTTGTTAACACTTGGTCTTTAGCCGAACTTATTCTTCAGGAAGACCATGAAGAAAAAACACCAAGAACATGTTGTCAAGATTTCTCATTATCTTTGTAATATCCTCACTAACTAGCATAAGTTTAAGGCCATCTATAGTAGACTGAACATGAGTCAAATGTTCTAATAAGTCTTGACTATTCATTTGGTGAGTAGCCAGGTTGTGAACCAACTTATACAATCTTTGAATATCATTAGCATAAAGGTTTTTAGCCTTCTACGAAACCTCATAACATGTCTTATACGGACGAAAGTGACACAAAAAAAAATTGAATATGCTCATAGTAGATTGAAGTGATATTTTTTAAATAGTAATAAAGATTTTTGTAAGGTTTGTGAAGCAGTTAAAAATATGATCATACTGCAATAAAACGGGATACATGCCTCTTCAGAAACAACAGTATCGTATCAAAACATAAGTTCAAGCATAAAGGTCTCTATGCTTATTTGGTTGGTAATATTTCTCGTGTGAGATTGAACTTTATTTATTACAAAGTTGTACAAATAGAGGAAACCAAACCAATATGGATAGTGTGGATGTACAATTAGAAGAACATGTGGTCTTTCGTGTGCTTGTATTATTGTTAAAAACATTTATCTCAATACACCTATACTTATGGATGTGGTGAACTCACATTAGCAAAAGCTTTTGTTTGATAATGACGGAACAAAGATGGTAAATCATATATATCCATTATGGTAGAGTTAGAGTTGGTTCAGGAAAGATTTAAGAAAGTTATAACAATTTAAAGTTTCACTTCAAAGAGTATATGTGTCATATAACCTATTTAAACACCACTGAGATGACACCACTTATGAATTTTGTACTTGTCAAAAAGTATAGGAGTGTGTGGTATCTCTACACAGATAGAGGATACTCTAAGGCCTTAGTAGTTAAGGATGGTTAGGACTTTCCCGAGGAAGTAAGAGGCCTTATACAATAGTGTGTACGACATTTATGGTGGTAAGAGAATGTCAAATCAAGTGAGGTGAGAGGCTCTGTATGTAAACGATTTGCTTAGGGTGTGATGATCTATCTTGGCAAATTCACACCAGGTGGATTAAATGTGTAAATATCACTTCACAAATGTCATTTGTTGTTTCTCACATTTATAGATGTGGTAATTTGGATCTAACTTTAGTATCGACAAAGGTAGCTTCTTGGTTCGACGAAGATTAAGCATGCAGTTGAAGACTGTTCACATGATGATGTTGAAGTCTTGCATGTTATAGTTGAAGTATGTTCAAGCATGCAACAATCAAAATATGTTATGTTGTTAGCAAGTCGAATTAGACCAGTCTATTAGCCCAAATTGTTTAAGTTAACTTGTTACTTAATTTAGCTTAGTAGTCTATAAATAGAATGGTTCTCTCAGTTTGTTGAAAGAGCATTAGTTGTTGTTATTCAATTGTAATATTTTAGTCCTAATTGAGAAAGTGAATAGTAAAACAGTTCTAACCAATCTTGATTTTCTTTCTTTTCTTCTTCCCTCTTCTCTCTCTTTCGTAAAACCTAATAGGGTTTCTTATATTTGTTTCAATAAACTCAATCTTTCTCATAGTTTTAGTTTGTTCTTGACGATGCTCCGTTATTACAAGAGATAAGAGAATAGTTGTGCAGATTCTCTTACTAAATTAGGTCTCACCGTTATAGATTCAATTCACTTTAACTCGCTACCTTTAGTTTTGGGAGCATATTTTGTAAAGAATAGACTAAGTTAGTCTTTCTTTAGATTCTTTTCCCTTTGAGAGGATTTCGGTATTGTCCCTTATCTTGTTTGTCTATTTTTTTCCCTTTTTATATATTCAGCCCTATTTAAAAAAAATAGTTTTATAGGTTTGAAGAAAGATATGTTGTTTTTGGTTTTTCTTATAACTAATTGACTTATTTTTAGTTCATTGCTTTTCTAGGTTTTGATGAGAAAAAAGATGAAGACAAATAAACTCAAAAAATACTTTTAATAATTGACATTTTTGTCGCTAAACCGGTCACAAAAAGTAAATATTACATTTGTGTTATCACGTTAGTGAAAATTGACGTTGTTAGTGATATTTAGATGGAAAGAATTAATGTAATACATTTTAAAAATTTTAAGGACCGAAATGGTTTATTTTTAAATTATGAGACTAAAATGAATCCTAAATATAAAATACAAGATGGAAATGAGTATTAAGTTTTAATTTAAAATATTAAAATGTGCCATAAATGCTTTTTTCATGAGTTTGAATTAAAATGATAAGTTTTGATTCATTTCCTCTCGATTGCTCTCTTGTTTACATTAGTTTGATCGTGAATCAAATTAGGGTATCATTGACTTTCCTAGCATGTATTTGTCATAGAAATTAGAGGTGTTTGCGGTTCGGTTTGGATCAGTTTTAAGACATAAACTCATTCAATCCAAAGATAAATTTACTTGTGGTTCAGTTTGATTTTGAATGATATATTAAAAAAATTGATTTAATTCGATCCAATTTAATGCGGTTTAATTTGGATCAATTTTTTAGATATCTAAATTATAAATTATATTTTTATTAATATTATAAAAATACTAACAAATCATAAAATTTGATATAATATTTAAAATATAATATATTAAAAGTTAATATTACAAAATAAGAGTGGTTCATTATGGTTGAAATAATAAAATTAAGTAGATTAAACTAAGCTAATAAATATTATTGAGAAAATAATTATCATCTAATAATAAATCCACGTAACATGTCATGCTAATAAAAAAATAAATAAATATAAAAATATATACATACGGTTCGGTTTAGTTTGGATCAGTTTTGAAAAATTAATCTGAAATCTGATCTGAATAGAGTGATTTTCACAAAATAACATCCAAACACATCCAATAGATTTCAGGTTTTTATGGTTTTTGATTTTTTTTGGATCGGTTTGAGATTTTTATTTGTATTGGTTTGGATTTGAACATCCCTAATAAAAATTCATAGACTTTGAATCACTTCATTTAAGTCTTGTTGTGATGTTCCGT